AATATACGATGCAATTTTCTAAAATACCAGGGCTTAGTATCTGTAATTTCAAAAGACCTACATCAATTTCAACAATTTAATACACATATATCAGTACCGTACCCATATATCCCATTGAACTTAATAATTATACTTAAAAGTAAGAAAGGAGCTAAAGACATGTACAATATACTTTGTAAAAACAATGTTATACCAACTGGCAAACAAAAGTGGGAAAATTATACTATCAGTGAGGAGTCATGGAAACAGATCTATAAACTTCCTTTCCGGATTACTAAAAACTCTAAACTACAATGGTTTTAGTACAGGATCAATCATCACATTCTAACTACTAACTCTCTTGTATTTAAAATGGGATTAGTTGAAAATTCATTTTGCTCTTTCTGTAAAACACATCGGGAAACTATTGAACACATTCTATGGGACTGCCAAGAAATTAAAAGATTGCTTCATAATTTTGAGAGGTTAACCCAATTTTTTTTAATATCAACTACTCATTGAATAAAAAACAATTTATTTTTGGTATAATTTGTTCAGACGAACCAGATGCGGAAGTTGACAATTTAATAAACTTGGTAATTAAATATTATATTTATAAAACAAAATGTTTTAAAAATAAACTATCTATATAAGCACTTCTCAATGTAATTAAGGAAACATACAAAGTACAAAAACACATTTCAAATAGTAAATATGAGTCAGATAGGTTTATAGGATATTGGAGAAAATGGTCCCCACTGATAGGAACACCCTGACAATATGCCATATTATATGCACAATAACAGTTATTTTTTTTATTCATAAGTATGTTTTGTACAAAATCAAATATCTATAGAGACCATTTCTTTCCTTAAGCTTCTTTATTACAAAACCGGAGAATAGACAATTTTTGCACATAATTTATACTTATTTATGTTAGTATTGTCTCATGTTTTCAAATGTATGTTTGTTTGCAAATTTGTTTATTTATGTCATAATTTTTGTGTAGATGAATGTATATATATATGTGTGTGTATGTTTGTATACATGTTATTATATTTACATGTAGTGTGTAAGTAAGTGTTCGTCCTTTATGTTAGGTTCAAATGTTTTAGTATCTCAAATAAATTTACTAAATTTATGAAATATGATGAAAGAAAGTGATAGAAAGATGAATGTTGAACGAAAACCCTCTTATGAGAGGACAATACGTTGTAAAGGGGGAAGATCCCAGGGCTCCTCAACCATGGCTTCCTTCGTAAACACTTGCCGAGGAAATAAAATATTTGAACCTGAAAAAAAAAAAAAAAAAAATATACGGCGAACAATAAAATGGTTAGCTAAAACCTTTCATTAAAAACACTTGCCATAACTTGATAACCAGTAAACATAAATTTAGCATGAACATATTTTCAGACTATTAAATTGAAGAAATCTTTCAGTACATTTCATATGGGACTTTTAAATAACAAATTTGAAAAATGTGAAATGTATACTCTTTCGAAAAATCGCTTTAATGATGTGATCCTGTTAAACAAATATTCCCAAACTGCACTAAATGTACATCCCCCATGTAACGCTAAATTGTTCCCTAGTTTCACTCATGCGCGCTAAATTTGACAGTTCCTGTATAACGTTCTACATGTATATATTAAGGTTATTACAATTAAGTTAATGTACATATGTAGAACCTATGACCCGCAACACAGGTGATTGAATATATATTAATTGGAATTAAGCAAGGCGGCTGCTTCATGTACGTACAAGTATAACTATATATATCGACACTAAAGATCACATTACAAGTCGCTGGAACTGGTTGCAATGAAGATAAACAGTTTCCGCTGAAAGCTGACGGGTTCCTCATCCTTTTACATTTCAGTATAGCATTCCTTATTGTCCATTGTAGAATTAAAGGAACTCCTTCCTTTTTTATTTTCAGAAAATATCGGTCAATGGGAGCAATCTGAAGCTATGCAGACATCGAAGAGGAGCTGATCGACATAAAATGCAGAAGAACCCTGGGACATTTCCGGTCAAGAAACCTGATCCACCAGATTCATATTCGTTTTTGGGCGGATACAATACGTACAGTGCTTATCGCCGAGATGTACCACAGACGGACGTCCTGTACAAATACGCCAAACCTGTACCCCCGAGAAGACTACAGAAAAGAAAAAAGTCACGAAAGGGTTCAAGATGGTCTTCGTCTGTACCAGCGCCAAAAACAGATGCGCCTGTTGGACGAGTCTGCAAAACGAAGTACCGACGTAAACAATCGAATAAAATTGTGAATTATTCTGAGGTAAGTTGTTCAATATGTAATATATATATAATGAATAACCTGCTTATTTTGTTTACATATTAAGTTACGATAGGTTATATACTGCAATAGAAAATGTTAAAGCTAATCTTCTAGCCTAAGAACATTTAGGCAAAATCGCTCATTTATAGCAGATCAGTCGCGTGACAAGATTACATTAACAAAGTTAAGCACAGCAATTAACAATGATATTCGTATTATATAAAACACCAATAAAAAAGGTATGTGGGGAAAATAAGGTCATCTTTGAACGTTATCCTTCAACCCGATAACTATACGTCTTGTACCCCCCCCCCCCCCCCCCCCCCTCCCCCTCTTTTGACCATCAAATTAAAGCATTCAAAATATTTCGACCTTTTCTTCACACAAAGACTATAAACAGTATATCGCATAGTTGTATTTGTTGTTGTACCAAATTCGTCCCCAGCTCGTAGGACGAAAAAATGCGAAAGATACTTCAATGTAAAATCACAGGAAACACAACCAATATTACAGCAATTATTAACTGACGATTCATTTGTATCTGTTGGAATAAAAAACAATGAATATGTTATGTCATTCATTATAAGTTATTTCCGTCTTGAGAAACAGCAGAAAAGAATAAACTAAGTCAAAACTATAACAAAAAGGAGAAAGAAATATTCTTAAACCGTATGAAACTATATCACACATGTATATTATTTTAATAGTTGCCTACTTTTCCCTTGTGAACAATCTGAATGACGTCTTACATATTTCATGTGACTAAAATATCAAAGTGTACATATAAACCCCAGTAATTTTACATAAAAGACAAAATGATCACATTTGAATCTAAAATTCATGGACCAAGATCGAATACTTAACAATGGGCTTAATTAGGCCACAGACTAAGCATCAACACTTAGGATGTTTTGGTTACAAAGTTTCAAAAAGATTTTCTTTAAACATTTCATCCTTGTGACCTTAAAAGTGGAATATAATCACCTTGATCATTTTTTGTCATCGGGAAGAAGTTGTTGTATACACCGACAAACATGCTACAGGCCAAATATCACTACCCTTGGGCTTTTGGTTATTTAGAAAAAGATTTTCAAATCTTCTGATCTCACCGACCTTGAAAGTAGATCAAAGTAACTAATTTATTTAAAAAGAAACACCCTGGAAGTCTTTGCTACCTGTAGGCTACTGGCCAATTAGCATAATCCTTACTGTTTTGATTATTTAGATGAAGTTGTGTAGATAGTTCAACATATTTGACGTAACTGATCTTAAAATAGGTCAAAGCCATTTATTTTATCAAACTTGGTAGTCCTTAATCCAAGCAGGCTATTGACCATCCTTAAGCCGAACACACAATATAAAAAACTATTTTATCGGTATTTAACTTTTCACTTAAAACAAAGGGGTTTTATAGTTCACTGATGTATGGAAGCATTTTAATAAAAGTTGAATAATCACTGTTCATGGATAACAATTAAGATACATGCGAACTGTAACTATGATGTAAATACTGAACTGTAATGCTATTCACCGTTTGTGTTTGGTTTTAAATCCCATTGATGATATAATGCTATGTTTGTTTAAATCAAGTCTAATACTAACAGCAATCTCAAATTTAATGACCTTAAGTTAGCCATCGTTATATTCGCCATTTTTATTGTAAGATCGAGAAATATGTATGATTGGCAATATTCTAATAAATTACAGAACCAACAAATACATGACATAGATTTAAAATACAAAAGAAAATGTATTCACCTAGCATAGGTCTCAGAGCCGGAAGGTAGCTAGGATACAGTTAGATCAGGGCAACCACAGACAGATCTGTAAGTTAAATGGGTGACAACAGTAGTCAAGACTGGGAAACAGAATAGGGGGCTAGTTCATTGCAGGTTTTTTTTGTAATCTTAATATTGTGCATTTAAAGTTTTAACCTATTGCGCTCTTAGTATACGTTCATGCTACTTTATAATTTTTATTCTGAATCGAATAGTAACAGAGTATTTCCTTCCCACGATATGAACGCAGATTTGATATACATGTATTTAGTCTAAAAGTTTCCAAAATTTTCCTATAGAATGAGTAGTGCGCGTTGGATGGGGAGTGCAAAGTAAATGCGCTTTAAATAAGAGTTTTACCGAAAAAGGCTTTGTGTTAACTTCCTTAAATTACTAGTCACAGTGTTCTTCTTGTTGTATACGAGAATGAGAAGTTTCGCATTGTAGCTCTCCGCCTTTACTCCGCAGAAACCATCAAACAAATATAATTTAATACTCTAATTAGTTATGAGCACAATATGGAACACATGACTAAGCTTTAGCTGCGCATGATTTAAGTATATTAAGGCTGAACGAGCGGGCGGACGGAAGCCATACTTCCGTACGGCGATGTGATATAAAAACGGAATAATCCTTTGTTTTCAGATAATATCACAATCGTCCCAATATGTCTTAGACAAAAGTCAACCTACAGCAAAGCGGCGTCTTAAACTTTCCAAAACAAGAAGACATAAACAGGAAAAGGATGCTGTTTCTTTTGAGTCTCTTATCTTGCCAGCAAATACACCGGAGATAAAGAGAAGTGATGTGCGGCCAGGATTGGTTCGAGTACATGTATACCGTACCCCTAAATATCTTTTCAGTATAAATGTGGATAACCACAATGCGTTTGAGAGTATTTGTGCTGAAATTTCAAGTAGCGATAAAGTACCATTAGAGTCCCTTCTACTTACGTACCATGGTAGATCAATCACTCGGACATGGCCTTTGGTTCTGGAAGAAAACTCTAATATACATACTATTGTGAAAGGAAATGGTGGAATGATGAAAGCCGGGCATTTAGATAAATCGTCCGAAAGTGAGGACAATCGTGACGAAACATTAGACCAAAGACACAGAGATTCCAACGAATTCTCAAACTGGAATCTTGGCCATTCAACAGTTCATAAGGAAGAAGAAGAGACAATGCAACATCCAAATGATGAAACAACTGGTAATTATATGTAGCCCTAATATATACCGATATTTCAACATTATTTGTTATTGTAATATTTCCAACCATTTTTATCACAATTTCCCCACTATAATGTCTTCAGAACTACGACAATGTATGCGTCAAATGTAGCATGTTATCAGAATTAATAAGCAATTCCGTTGAGTTTTCATATGCTTTCAAATCACATGCTCTTTTGGTGTAAGCTTACAAGGGCCTTGCAGTTTCTTCCATTTCTATATAAGGTTTTATTTATACACTCTGACGCACGTTAAGTGTGTAACAAGAGGTCATCATTACATGATATCATTATGATCACCATATTACAAAATTACATACGTGTATCTTATACAAATACATACATATAATTAATAGATAGTATAATAGTTAATTAACACTTTTACTGTACATGCTTCTTAACTTACTTAAACCTGCCATACATTACATAATGCAAAAGTGATACACATTAACACATTATGTATATGTAGAGAAATATTGTTTGGTATTTAGCACAACTTCTCCTATTGTTATATTGAAGTAAGTTTTCTAAGGAATATACAAATATTTTTTATACAATATAACATGCATGAGATATATTGAACATACCTTTTATTTTATAAAATGTAGGATTACGTGTATAGTATCAAGGAAAAGTATTGCCCCTTAATACACTAACTGAGTTTTTTGGACATTTAAACAAGTAATGGAATCATCTCCAATGGATTAATGACTTAGACTACATATTCCATCTCCCTGGGTATTCTTAACCATCTTCCAGTTTAAATTGGGGTTTTAATATTTGCAGTTCTAAATCTGCATGTTAACATCCATCCCTTTTGTTAAGTTTTAATGATTAGGCCTCGGGACCAAAATTTGATTTAAATAACGAATATGTTTGACCCCTGCTAATGTTTTGGATATCAGAATACCACTTTTGAATATATAGATTTTTAAGTTTTCGTTGTACTAAAAAAATCAATTGATGTCTTTCCATTGTATAAACCTGTTGAAAAGTCCATACAAAATTCATACCTGTATCATTTAAAATTGTTTTCACAGAACGTATCCATTTAAGATTATACCCCTCTTCGTGAATTTGTAGTATTATTCTGTATATATATAGATGGCTATTCTACTATTATTTGTAATAAGAATATGCCAAAAAAGAATCATAGCCCCATATCTCAGCAGCATAAAATAAATTTGAATTAACTAAAGTATCAAATACTTTCAATTGTAGATAAATAGGCATTTTTTTATTTCTTATCTTTCTATAAAAGGCAAACAATGCTTTTTTGTTCTTGCTCAGCAATTTTCTTTTTTGCCTGACCAAAGTTCCCGGTATAAATTAGAATTATCCCGAGGTATGGATATGAATTTACAATTTCAATTTCACTATCATATAAGGTAAATATAAAATTAAGACGTATTTTCTTTTTTCGGAAGGTTACAATTTTACTTTTTTGAATATTAACTATTATATTAGCCCTCCACATTTTACAATTATCACGAAATACATTAACATGTAAAGGGATTTTTGTAGACCGTCAGCAGATTCAGATGATATAACTGTAACATCTGCATATAAAAGGATAAATAACTTTATGTATGTACCAATAAAATTCTGGCAGTGGTCACCAATATCTTAAAGCCAATCGACATCATTCAAGTAATCTACAAAATCATTCAAGTATAAAGAAAATATGACAGAGGATTCCCCTTGCATAACTCCAACATTACACATGAATATATCCCGTTTGTTCCTTTCCATTCTTCACACACAATTTGGTATTATTGCAGGAATTAAAAATGACATTCAAACTATTACCTTTAATATTGCTTTTAGCATCTTTTTCCATATCCCAATTCTCCACACAGTATCAAAGGCCTTCTTAAAATCTATGAAAGCACAGTACAATTTCTTTTTAGAAGAACAATACAGTTCAATTAACGATTGAATTACAAAAATGTTTTCAGATATTCAGTATCCCTTTCGAAACCGATATTAGTTTCCATGTATAATGTTTATTTCATTAGATAGTTGGTTCAATTTTTCATTAAGTATCGATGTGAAAAGTTTACCAAGACAAGAGATGAGAGTAATTCCCCTATAATTATCGAGATAATTCACATCCCATTTATTTTAATAAATTGGTTTAATTAACCCAAAGGTCTAGGATTCTTGGATTATACCTGTATCAAGAATTACATTAAAAAGTTGAACATATATAGGTAAAAAAGAGTCACTAGTAGTTTTCAAATATTCATGGAGAATCCTGTCTGTTCCACACGCTTTGTTGTGGAGTTTATGTACCACCTTTTTTGTTTCTATTTCAGTAATTTTGGATATTCACAAATACAAACATAAACAAGGTTACATTCACGCTATCGAGTAAACCGCATCAATATCATGAAAAGTCATCAGACAACCAGTTCCCTTTATGAAAGCTTTACAAACTTTTCCCAAAGTTTGTTTGTGTAGTATTTATCATTTCCTTGATATATTAATGAAATATTAACACCAATGAGCAGGAATACTTTTTCATTTATTTTTTGTTGTCACCGGTATCATCTTTGAATATAATATCTATTACAATATAGATATTTGGTATTTGGTTTATCATCACTGAACTTTTAACGTTTTGGTTGTTTTTTCCAACAGCTATAGAAACACCGGATGTCACGGCAACAGCAAATGTTACTTCTGAAATGGCACAGGTAATTATCTCCATGTATTTGACCAAAGGAAATGTCGCTCGATTTTTAAAAAGTCTCACCGATAATCGTGCACGTACGTTTGCATGTTAACATGCACAAGGGAATGTTTGCATTACAAAATATTTAAAAATAGCAACAACAAAAAAGAAGTTATCTATAGATGTGGTTACCGAGAAATGTGTCTCGTGTTATTTAAGTCCCAAATATGGAAATGAATAAATACGCATTAAGATGATAATATTAAGAGGACGTAGAGGATTTTTGTATTACAATCTCAGTAATGTAAAACAAATTGCATGTCTTTTAGTGAAACAATAACAAACGTCTCCCTATCACTAGTTGATATAGATGATTTGATGTTTTATTTGGCAGCGAAAATATGCAAAATGTGTATAGTAAAACTGTAAAGGTAAGATTTCATTAAATATGTTGGGTTTTTTTATTTCTCTCTAAAAAAAAAAAAAATTACAGCGATTTTTATTTTGTTGTCTATAGTTTGGAATACAAATCCGTAATTAAAAGCTTTTGGTTACATAAACAATATATTCCCAAATCTGTCTACATATAATCAATATTGAAATATTTTTCCAATAAGGTCACCATATTTTTTAATATAATACTTTTTGGGAAAGCATACCGATTAACACAATACATTTCCTAATCTGATTTCGTATACTTGTACATACAGTATTTTTCTCAATCTAGAAACATATTGAATGTTGTGACTATTTCACTTAATTTAATGATTAAAATGGCAGCGATAAGAATACAATTTCAACTGATTAATTAAAGTTGAAAAAGTGTTTACGTTGATAAACAAGATCTACGGATAAAAGTATTTTTTCGGTTTTTTCAGGACACTCAAGTATCCCAGTCAACTAATCTCAAGGAAAAAACAGGTATTTAATAACTCATATTTATAAGCAATAGCACTATAAAAAGAGAGAGAACAGAATATACATCAGCGTCAATACAAAATAAAAATAAAACACAACTAAAACGAGAGCGCCAATTGCCCTGCGTTGTCCACCTGGTATTGAACTCACATTCGGTATCTTAAAAGTTGACTAGAAGGACAAAAATCAGTATCTACATGTATGACTCTAAGTCATTCAAAAGAACCATTTAAAAGATTTAAACATATTTGACCCCTGTGAACCTGAAAGTCTAACAAGGTCATTAAGTTAAACAATTTTTAAAACCCTTCATCCCAGCATGCAACTTGCAAAATATCACCACACTACACCTTTTTTTAATTGAGATGAGGTCATTTAAAAGTTTATACACATTTGACCAAATGTAACCTTGAAAGGGGACCGATATATTTCACATGAACAATCTTGTTTGCTCTTCATCTGACTGGCAAAATAGTATTACCCGATGCACTCTGATCACTCATAAGTTGTTTAAAACATTTCGAAACATTTGAACCCTGCGATCTTTCATATGGTAAGGTTATTTATTAGTACAAACCTCGTAGGTTTTTTTTTAATTTCAGCACACGACTGGTAAATATCATCATACAGGGCCTTTTGACCCTGTGACCTTGAATATGAGTCAAAGACATTCAATTGAACAAGCTTTGTAGCCCTTCATTTCAGCATGATTCTAGCCTTATATCATCAGATTATTAAGAATAATGTGTTTAAAGATTTCAACATATTTGACCCCTGTGGCCTTAAATATTGGTGAAGGTCTTGCATTTGAACAAACTTTGTAGCCCTTCAACTCAAACAAACCAAGTGGAATATAAATTGGACTGGGTGGGTGTTGCGGTATATGTAAAAGATGCCGTTGTAAGCTCGGTCCTACTACAAACAGGCCAGTATACACGCGGGCATACACGCATAGTGAGATATTAGCCAGGTGGCATAGGACTAGTAGTTAGCGCATGGTAAGGTATTATCACCTTTTAATACAAAATGCTTCTTGATTTCTAAGTATTTTTTAACGTTCTATTGACAGAAAACTTTGTGCATTTTGAATGTTCTTTTTTAGAAACACCGGATAGTACAACATCAACACAAGACGTGACTTCTTCCAGTGTCCAGGTAGTTTTCATTAAATAAACATTTCTCAAGCAATTTTGCAGTATTGAACACAGTAATAATCAGTTGCTTTCATTCGTTTTCCACCCCGTCGCCGTATTTCTGGCCAATATGTTGTGGTGAACAAACACGTTATGGTAGAAATAGGGAAACAGAGCGGGTTACATAAATTCAGGTTCGCTCCTGTCCAGTATCTTGGAAGTTGAAATAAGTTGACAAACACTTGAATATAAATATTTAGTTCATTTAATATTGACTAAAAAATAGTATTATTTACAATATAATGTGATAATCATTACCGCTATGTAAACACTATTGGCGGTATTTTGGGAGAAAAGTAATTTATCCTTAGCTCGAGTTGCTTCCCTTGGATCCTGAATTACAATCAGCTTCACGATAAAGATTAGTTATGTAGCATAGAAGTTAGTTTCTGTCATATCGTCTGCTTTTTGGAGTATCCCATAATGCATCACGCCCATTATAGTTTCGAAGGTAAACAAATATCTTCATCTGCCGTACTAAGTTAAGTTACCTCAAATACCCAAAACATCGGCAATAGTAATTATTGCACCAGTTTGAATTGCCTACCCATCGTAGAGACGACATTTCTGATCGATGTGTCTGGTTTGTAAAGTAAGTCTGAACTGCTCGATGTCAGCAGAGACGTATATATCACACGTCTCTGATGTCAGTCAGAGAAATGAGTCACTTTTCCGTGAATCCGCCGGCTTTTTTGACTTTCTGCCTGGGTTGCATCAGCCAATCAGCATTGAGCAATGACGTCTTATTTGACGTCTTAGTCCGCCAAGTGTAAACAAACGCGAAATTCTCGCCTGGAATTTCGCGGATTTATAATATTTCCGACAGTTTCAAATGTACAAAACAATAACACATCGCTTAATTATTTAATCTACGAATGATGTAGGCATTCTTCGTTTACATTTAAAGGTAAGCTATAAGTTCTTAAATCCTGTCTGAATCGAAGTTGACAAATCTCTCCATTTTGAACGGCATGTTCGAGCCACAGTCGAAGTTGGAAGATAGATATTGGAAAATTCTTTTACAATATGTATTTACGTCAAACAAACTCATATCTTATAACATGGTTGAAATCTACATATCAGTAGACAGTAAATTCGTAACACTACTGTTTTCTCTAAATACAGATCTCTTCACAATAAGTGTAACTTTTACACGATGCTTGAAAGATCTTCAAGAGTCTTGATGATCCCCAATTATGCCGGGGGATCTTCAAAATTCAATCACGAAAGATTGCGATGATAAGGGAAACCATCGCGTTCCTCCGCGATCGGTTCGCTAAATATCACGAAACGTCATCAAGACCCACCGTGTTCGCTGTGCTCACTCAGGCGAGGAGACGTCGATCTCTATTTACCTGGGGAAATGATATGCCAGGAGATGAAGATAAGCTATAGTCAGTGGCGTTTCTTTTAATAATGTTTTATCAGAGACGCATAATACGTCTCTGGTTTTATCAATTTCATTACTATAAAGGCAAAACATACAAACAGAAGTAAGAGAGATATGTATTTTACGTATCTAACATTAAAATGGTATTTGTCAACTAAGTGAAATGCATTTCTCATTTCCTTTCTATGGGTGTCATAAATTACCGCTACATTTGAGCACGGACTTAAATAGCGATCTATTTCCGTGAATCTACACAATGTCAGCTTTATATCAGTCTTATATAATACATTTCGATCTCGTTTTAATAAAAAAAACAAAAAAAAAACAACAACGCGAAAGCGAAAGTTTGGCACCACAAAAGTAATGTTACGATTTATTTCATCTTTGAACATACAAGTTATTCCACGGAACACCACCAAAGCAGAGACGTATTATACGTCTCTGACCAAAGTAATGTTACGATCTACAACATACACGGATTTAGATTATATTCAAACAGATAACTTTCTTCATTTTTTACTCGCGGTATAATGCACAACAAAAAGAATACGTATTATTAATACCACAAGCATCGGGATTAGTCTTAGATTTGTTGGTGTATGGATCATATTCGTGCATTTGATTGGTTGTTACGTCTCTGGTTGATGTACTTGTCGATTCTCCACTCCACTGGGACGTGAGAATTGGTCACAGATATATTTGGACCTACGCTATGGTGTTTAGAGTAACTTTACACGTTTGGGGGGTTTAGATCGATTTTCGGTAAAAATGCCATCCCCCATGATCATTCTCAGATTATCAGGTCCCTATGCTCCACTCCAGCATAGGGAGTACCACAAGCATCGGGATTAGTCTTAGATTTGTTGGTGTATGGATCATATTCGTGCATTTGATTGGTTGTTACGTCTCTGGTTGATGTACTTGTCGATTCTCCACTCCACTGGGACGTGAGAATTGGTCACAGATATATTTGGACCTACGCTATGGTGTTTAGAGTAACTTTACACGTTTGGGGGGTTTAGATCGATTTTCGGTAAAAATGCCATCCCCCATGATCATTCTCAGATTCTCAGGTCCCTATGCTCCACTCCAGCAAATTCTCGTCACACTTCAGCGATTGTGTCTCATTTACAGATGTACTATGCGTTTGTATGTCTTTGCTTTGTGCCTACTGTAGCCGACTTGTTTCCGTTACCAGTGTGATAAAATTTCACATATATGGCAGTGTGATTTAAATTCTTTGTTGTTGGGTTATTTAACAACACTGGTTAGGGCA